AGAGAACTTCTTTGAAACTATTATGCTTGTGCTTCTGTTCTTCTTGAGAGTATAGTTAGCGATATTAAATAATGTTTTTATTTTCTGTTTCAGATCTGTAAGAGATGTGCCAACTTTTATGTTTGAATACCCTTTCTTTTTAATAAATCTGGAAAAAGGATTTTTTTCCTGCCTTTGTCTTTTGTGACTGTCTGCCCGGGAAGCTGAACCAGTGCCTAATCTACTTCGTCACCTACCAGAGCCTGTTGGATTTCTGTCTGTGTCACGGTAAAATGACATAGAGTGGGGTAGTCTGGTAAAGACTGAAGCGTAACCTCCTTCCTTGGGTTACTCTTTGGGGACTGTTCTGGAAATAAGGGGGTGGTGGCAGCAAACTACTGCTTGGTTTTGTGTTTTGAAAAAAACTTTTGCGTGCTTGTCTCTCCTCTTGCTGGATTTGGAGGGCGGGTTGGAGAGGTGGAGAGCACGTGTGAATTCTACACATCCTCTTGCTTTAACACTTTAACACTAACCACTGTTCTGTTAGTCACTGTTATGCTTAGTTCTTTAATATCACTGTTATGATACTCACTGAAATATTTACCCTACTTTGGCCCTTTCGGACTGGTGTTTTATTACGTGTGTATTCTGCAAAATATTCTTGACACAAACGATAATTGATGTCCGGAGAGGCTCTAGAACAGCAAAAGTGGGACAAAAAATAAACCAGAACATTTGCGGTATTAAAGTTGTAGGAATTCAGCAGGAAGTTATGGGACGTGCACTGATTGGAAGCAAAGCAGTATATCCGACCCCAACTCCTGAAGGCAAAGACAGTATTGAAAGAGGGATTGCATATAACCACCCTGATCCTAACATGCAGCACAATCATGACTGCCCAATATTTATCCCTGCAGAAGGAAAGGCAACACTTCACTTTTCCTTTTAAAAAACCAGGTGAAATATTCTAAGGGGGAATATAGGAGGATTGAAATAATGTCTCTGCCTTCACCATACATTTACTCCTCCTTTCATTTTTTTAAAAAATTATTTATTGTCCCACCTTTTTTCTCAAAGGACCTCAAAGTGGCATGCATAGCTTTCCACCTCCTTTTTTATACCCACAGCAACCCTGTGAGGTAGGCTAAGCTGAGAGACAGTGACTGATTGAGTAGGGATTTGAACAGTGTTAGAAACTGAGATATGGAAGCTAGCAGCTACCGGTAAATGGCACCTTAAACCTAGGCTATGGGCGCAACAATGGAATGTCTAAGCATGCTTTTTTATAACGAGAATACAAAGCAGAAAAAGAATGAACAGCTAAAATATTACATTCATTTTTCACAGAATTTAGTCCTTCCCCTGCCCACCCCTCTAATATTCTTAAGAGGGTCTCTTCTCCAGTCTTCAGAGAGAAGCTGGAAGTGGGGAGGCAGAAAAAGGTTCTCCTTTCCTTCCACTCTGCAGTTTTAATCTGAAATCTTAGGCACAGTACTGCACTCAGAGCTCAGAAACTGCTCGCACTAATGAAATTCCCTGTCACAAAATGCACCTGGAACAATGGGAGTTTTGAACACTGGATTTGAACCCTAGCCTCCCAAGTTCTCATCCAACACTCTTACCACTACATCACACTTGTGATAAAAATGCAATGAATAAATAAATACATTGATCACCCATGGAAAATATTTTCTTCCACCGTCTCATAGATTTTATCCTGATGGTCAGTTCTTTATGCTTCTTTGAAACTCTGAAATGCGAATATGAAAGTGAAAAAAGTTGGATTCCCAAACCAGGGAATTGTGTGAGACTTTCCATCCTCTGCGTGAAAAGGGTTTTTGTTTTTTTGTTACAGATTGTATTTTTCCAACAAACCCATTTTCAGTTTCTATATGAGTGTCTTTTTTTTTTTTTTTTGCAAAACAGGTTTGTTCATTCATTGATGTTTGATAGGTCCATATTTGCTCAGTTAGCTCATTCATTTATTCACATTTTATTCCATTGTTGGCTTGTGTTGTGGGAAAACAAACACATCTGCAAGGACACATGAAAGCCACTGTGGTGATGGGCACTATCTTTCAGCCTAATCAACATTGTGGGGCTGCATTGTGAGGTCAGACTTGGGAAGGCAGAACCACATCCACAATTCTGATCTCCTCAGAGGAAAGGCAGGACAGAAATGAAATAAATAAATAAGCCAAATAAATATAGAATGGCCAGGCTAGATTGGAGCAAAGGCCTGCCTAGTACAGGGTCCTATTCCCAATACTGGCAAGCAGGGCAGGAAGACAACAGCCCTCCCTATTGTTTGCATTCCAGTAGCTGGCATTCAGAGGTAGACTGCTTCTGAGTGTGGATGTTCCATACCCATTGACAGACTTGTTCTCCATTTTTTTTATCCTGGTAGAAAGGATAACCGGGATCCACTTTCCAGTAGCAGGTGAAACCTGACCCACACACAATCACACACTTTAAATACACAAATAATAATACAGAAATAGAAACACATGTATTTATTTTTTAGTAATTTTGCTTGAAGCTCACTTTCCTTTTCTCCAAAGGTTGTAAATATCTATTTCTTTTTGACATCCATTGTGGTTTGATGTGGTTTAAAACACCTGAGTAAAACACATTAACTCTGAAACGTTACCATATCCAATAACAAGGCAGCCATGAATAAATTCAGTGTTATATAGGTTGGACATGGGACATGGCTAATTCCTTATTCAGAAGGGTGCATTCTATCTAGCTTCATAGGCATTATAAACATCAATAATGTTTCAACGGCAATACATTATAAGTCATCTGGCATTGTAGATTCTCTTTGCTTATGTGGCTCAATACGCTTCTTTCTCTTGTCTGGGATCTGAAAGCATGACCAGTCGGATCCAAATGTATGATCGTAAAAAAACTAGACAGGTTAAGAGCTAAATCCATCAGGAGTATATTTCCCTCACCTCACCCCCGGTCTGTAAAAGCTCCTATTCTGCTTCCATTTAGTCACTTTAATGCTATTTTCCCCAAATCTGATCTTTCTATCCCAAAAGTTAGTGGTGACCAGATGGGGTTCAGAATGGGTGGGAAAGGAAAACTGAAATAGTATTCCATTCTAAACTGAGGCACTAGTACGTTCTCAGTTTCTCAGTGCTTATCTTGTTTATCAAGGCAGCCACTCTGCAATGTGGGCTGCCAACGTTTCAATTGTACAGATGGAAAAGAGAGGGATATTGGGATTTGTTATCTGCCCTTCAGTCAAGAGTCCCAAGGTGGCAAAAAATGACATTAAAAATTGCAGTCAACTATGGAAATGTGAGACAAAATTAACCAACCAGCATTGTAAAATTGGTAACGATCACAAATAAAGCAGGTAGAAGACAAATATAAAAATAAAAGTGTATGTATAGCTGCAGATTTAGAAATGACGGCTATAACTTAATGGAAAGGCAGAGCATCTCACCTAAGGAGAGAAAGCCTTGACCAAGAACCCACCTTCACTATACATTTAAAGTGGCATCATGCCACATTAAACAGGCATGGCTTTCCGCCAAAGAATCCCGGGGATTGTGGCATGTTAAGGGTGCTGAGAGTTAGAAGACCCCTCTTTCCCCTCACAGAGCTACAATTCCCAAGTGGTTTAACTGTCAATCCCTCTTCCCAAGGAACTCTGGGAATTGTAGTTCTGTGAGAGGAGGGAGAAGGGCAGCCTAACAACACTTCCCAGGATTCTTTGGGAGAAGCAAGCAATGCCTGCTTGAAGTGGCATCGTAGTGATTTAACTGTATGGTGCGGAGGCGGCCTTGGCGAGCTATGTCTGTTGCTCACTGCGGATGTGGGCAAGGCGCTTAGGCGGAGTCCTTTGGCAGAGACAGTGTGGTGTAGAGGTTTGAGCACCAAACATTGGGGAAAGTGACATCACAGGAAGCCGCCTTATATCAAGCCCAACCATTGCTCTATACCAGCGGTTCTCAACCTGTGGGTCCCCAGATGTTGTTGGACTACAACTCCCATCACCCCTAGCTAGCAAGGCCAAGCTCAGGGATGATGGGAGTTGTAGTCCAACAACATCTGGGGACCCACAGGTTGAGAACCGCTGCTCTATACGGTTCACTGCTGCCTCTCCAGGGTTTCAGGCGGGGGCCATTTCCAGGATGCCACCTGGGATTGACCCTGGGACCTTCCTCATGCAAAACAGGCACTGAGCCACGGCCCTTCCTTCCTTCCTGCAACACACCCACCCCACTCCCTCCGCAGCCGCTTGCTTGAAGCGGCTCACGCATTGCGGTTCGCAGGTGAGCCCGCTCGCCGGCCGTCACTCCGTTTCCTGGATCAGGTTGTCGTGTGGCGTCAGAGAAGAGCCTGCAGAGACAGGCCAGGCTGCTGCGCAAGGGGTTAATGCTGCGCTCGGGCGGTGACGAAAGTAGGTGAGAGTTCGGCTGGAGCCGCAGCAGGTGGTTGAACTCTCTTGGCTCACGGGATCCTCGCAAACCGGCTGCGCAAGGCTAGGCGCACTCTCTCCGGCTGCGTCGTTCCTCGGCCTCGGTGTGTCATTCGCCTCTCCAGTGGGCGCGTCACATGCTCCCGCCAGGCCGGCTCAGGGGAAAGCCCCTCCACGTGGCCCGGCCCCGCTCCATTCCGTCGCAGTTCAGCCCCGAGTCATGAGGAAGAAGAAGGCGTCCAGGGCTCGTGATTGCAAATGATGGCGCGCATCCGAAGAGATTCGGAGCCTCCCAGTTCTAAATATGCTTAACCTCGTGACCTCTTTGATGGAGGAGATACTCGCGCTCTCGGCACCCGCTCTCCTGCGTCTACAAGATGGAGAATGACAACGGAGGCCTACCTTGCAGGGCCGTTGTGAGCAAAAGCATGTGTGTGAAGTGCTTGGAACGCTCTCAACTAAGAGCGCGGGGAGAGCCGCGCTGGGCCTGGATCAGGCCAAAGAGGGCCCAGCATCCTGTTCTGGCAGTGGCCACCCAGATGCCCCATGGGGAAGCCCACAAGCAGGACCTGAGCGCAACATCAGCTCTCCCCCATTTGTGATTCCCAGCAACATGCCTCCCAACAGTGGAGGTAATAAGTGAATAATAATACTGTAATAATAGTAGTAGTAATAATAATAATAATAATAATAATTTTGTATTTTTATCTATCTGTGCAATCAGAAGGGTCAAAACAAACTACAACTGTGTCACTATAATTTGCTTTTAAATTCTTCTGCGCTTCTTGTTTGTTTCTATAAACTGCTCAAAGCGATAGACAATAATTTAAAAACCCCCAGTATAAAGCAAGGGCTAATAAGGAAACAGCAACTACTGTACTATCATAGAGAAAAGTACAGTGGTACCTCGGGTTACAGACGCTTCAGGTTACAGACTCCGCTAACCCAGAAATATTGCCTCGGGTTAAGAACTTTGCTTCAGGATGAGAACAGAAATCGTGCGGCAGCGGAGCGGCAGGAGCAGAAGGCCCCATTAGCTAAAGTGGTGCTTCAGGTGAAGAACAGTTTCAGGTTAAGAACGGACCTCCAGAACGAATTAAATTCTTAACCAGAGGTACCACTGTACAGTGTAATCCTATTCCTGTTTCTCAGAAGTAAGTCCTAGTCCATCCATCTCAGTGGCTGCTCCCAGACTTTGGAACTCCCTTCTTAGAGAAACAAGACTGGCTCCTTTTCCTTCCACCTGCAGGTGAAGACTGTTTTATTCCTGCTGGGTATTTGGAACTGGCTGCTTTTAAGGAAAGGGCTTTTAAGAGTGCTGTGCTGTTTTTATCTGTATTTTAATGGGATTGTTTTTATATCCATTTAACTTTGCTACATTTTAAATCCTTTTTAAGCATCAGCTTTTATATATGTTGTTAGCTTTCTGTGTTTTATTCATGTTTGCTTTAATTTTTGTGAGCCGCCTTGAGTCCTGATTCTGGGAGAAAGGCGGGATATAAATAATAAAATAATAAATAACAATTCTGTGGGTCTTCTGGGTAAGTGAGGTTAGGATTGCAGCCTTTGCCTTGGAGGGCAGAGGGAATCTTAGAGCTGGATGGAACTTCAAAGGTTACCTTGTCCAATCTCTTGCCAGTGCAGGGAATCCATGACACCAACCTCCCTGTTGGGTGGTCTTCCTTAGGCTCTGCTCAACAACTTCTGAGAAAGAAGAGGGCCACCACTTTGGTGGTGAATAAGGGCGAGTTACACAACTGTTCATAAGAACATTATTTAATAACCACCCAGGCTTCCGCTCTCTCTCTTTTGATGACTTGCAGACTATGTGAGAATAAATTAGCACCTGGTCATGTGGTTTATTCATTCATTGAGAATGTTATCTTGATCACCAAGTACTAATTGTGTATTAATTAGGAAGCAGAGCCATTTGAGCAAGAGATTGGGATGGGCTTTTGTAACCTATCTGATAGAATGTTTTGTAATGTATTTGACAGAATGTATTTAATAGAATGCTTATTTTGTTTATGTCTCTGAGGCAATCACTGGCTTGAAAATCAGTGAGTTCCACTTGAAAAAAAACTTCACTTGCGCCTTCTGGTACCACTTCAAATGGATTCTGAAACGTTATCATTTCCTTTCTGCGCTTCTGGCAATCAGTGATCCTGTTCTGAAACCCCACCTGCAGTAGGTTCCATCTTTCAACATGGAATTGTGAATTTCCGTCCTCAGATTTAGTTTGTTACTGCATGAAATGTTTGAACAGCTATGTTTACTAACGTGCTTCATAAAATAAAATAAAAAAACCGTTTTGCTTCCACAGCTTTCAACTCAGAATACATGTCAGACACAGTAGGCTTTCCTTTTCTCTGCAACCTTATATTAAAAGCATTCAGATGCTCTGTGATATCAGGAAAGGCAAATCAAAAATCCATTTGGGGTCAGAAAGTAGTACTTCTCGACCTTGTATTCTGCCCATGAGTAAAACATCAACTTCATAAAAAGACTAAAATACCACCTGAGGAATACTAAGCCACCTGACTTCTGCATGGAGCAACAGATCTCCGTATTCTGCTTTTATCTCTGAGAGAATTTTTTTGAAACTGACAGTAATCAAGGCCATGATGCCATAAGTGATTAACGCTGGATACAACCAACGTACATCACACTGGGAGAATCTTACTGTGGAAGGCTTGCTAGTGGATGATGCAGTGAAATTGCACGGGATGTGTGCCATTTAATTTCATTGTCTCTTGACTGATTCTTGCAGCTGCACCAGTTTTACTTTCCACCAAGTTTCTTGCACCATCAGTAGCAATGCCTCTCAAGTTATACCAACTGAGACAAGATTTCCTACTGATTCACACACATTCAAGAATGGATTTGCTGCAGTGCTCTCAACTCTTCTGTAATTCTGAAGTTGCAAGATATCCCGCTGCTAAAAATAGTAGTTGAGCAGTGTCTATAATGTTACAGTGGTACCTCAGGTTACATACGCTTCAGGTTACATACGCTTCAGGTTACAGACTCCGCTAACAGAAATCGTGCTCCGGCGGCGTGGCGGCAGCAGGAGGCCCCATTAGCTAAAGTGGTGCTTCAGGTTAAGAACAGTTTCAGGTTAAGAACGGATCTCCGGAACGAATTAAGTACTTAACCCAAGGTACCACTGTATTGTTCTCAGCTAATGCCAAAGAAAACTATTCAAACGTTTTTGCCTTGTCCTTGATTTAGCAATAGTTAATAGTCCATTTGTGTGTGATTTTTTGTTTATTTTAAACAGTGCCGCCATTTGCAGACATCTTACAAAATGTATAGCAGAGTAACAGTCGCAGGGGTTCAATATAATCCTTGAATACGTAAAATATAAAAAGTGTAACTTCAGGGGCCAAGAGAATCATAGAATTAAAGAGTTGGAAGTGATCCCAAGGGTCATCTACCATGGGTAGGCAAACTAAGGCCCGGGGCCCAGATCCGGCCCAATCGCCTTCTAAATCTGGCCCGCAGACGGTCTGGGAATCAGCATGTTTTTACATTAGTAGAATGTGTCCTTTTATTTAGAATGTATCTCTGGGTTATTTGTGGGGCCTGCCTGGTGTTTTTACATGAGTAGAATGTGTGCTTTTATTTAAAACGCATCTCTGGGTTATTTGTGGGGCACAGGAATTCGTTCATTCCCCTCCCCAAATAAATATATTCCGGCCCCCTCAAGGTCTGAGGGACGGTGGACCGGCCCCCTGTTGAAAACGTTAGCTGACCCCAACCCCCTGCAATGCAGGAATCATAACTAGATTCTTGGGTTCAGACTACATGTGAGGCAGAAACTGTATTTTAGTGCTCAGATTTACTCTTTCTACCCTGTGCAGGTAGCCTGATGTTGCTCCTGGATGGCTGCTTATGTACTGTCTCTCAAGTTTGAACCTGATATGTCAAGCCTTGCAGCTGGGAACAGTGGTGTGATGGGAGGCAGGGATTAGCTCTTCCCTTTCCTGATGTGTTCCCAATGAAACCCCCCCCCCCCATATGCTATCAGCAAAAAAGCACAGGCTAGGAAGAATTAAAAATTGGATAAAAAAAATCTGAGGATCACCTGGCAGAGCAGAGTTGCAGTCCTATGTAAATGGACTTTTACTGGGCTCTATGTGTTTATTCAGAAATGAAGTTTAAATCTACAGGTGGTTAAAAGGTAAAGGGACCCCTGACCATTAGGTCCAGTCGCGGCTGACTCTGGGGTTGCAGCGCTCATCTCACTTTATTGGCTGAGGGAGCCGGCGTACAGCTTCCGGGTCATGTGGCCAGCATGACTAAGCCACTTCTGGCGCAACCAGAGCAGCGCACAGAAATGCCGTTTACCTTCCCGCCGGAGTGGTACCTATTTATCTACTTGCGCTTTGACATGCTTTCGAACTGCTAGGTTGCCAGGAGCAGGGACCGAGCAATGGATTTGAACTGCCAACCTTCTGATCGGCAAGTCCTAGGCTCTGTGGTTTAACCCACAGCGCCACCCGCTGTGGTGGTTAGGTCTCATTAAAAAAAATATTGGGGGTTTCCCTCCATGTGAGAGCAAAAAGGGGTGCATAGGCAGAGCGTGAGTGTGTTGGAAAGAGCAGCTTCCCACCTAGGAAAAGAGGATATTCCATTGCTATAAAGTTGGCTCCAAAAACATATGCAGGGTATACATATGCAAAACTGCCAGCCAGCTCAGTCATGGGATGAGGAGCAAAGTGGCAGCTGGGCAGGGTGATGGCAGGGACGGCAGGGACAGGACATGAATGGAGGAAGGTGTGGAAAGGGGAATCCCACAAGCTTCCCTGCTCCATAGTACTTTTTCTATGTACGTGGAAAATCCAGAGAAATTAATGCATTCTCCTAACCAATACTCTAAAGCCTATAGAGTTCTGAGTATGCACTGGAGCCTGGCGCATCATCAGCTAATTAATCAATCAATCTATTTGTTAACTGGCAATAACCAGCTAGCAATCGGAGTGGTTATGAAACATCATAAAATTTATTTGGAGTTTGCATACAATAGAAAGGAGTCAGGGATGCATGAAACACAGGTATTATACCACTTTTTTCAAAAAGGGGGAAAAGGAACGGGTTGTAACTGGATCTTAAATAAGAGATTGCCCAACACCCTGATTCGGTGCAGTAAATTGCACAGTCTAGCAAGCTCTGAGGGCTTGCACGGAAGCATCCTTCCACCCCTCCGCTGCCCCGCCTCTTGACAATTCTTATGCAAGAAAAGGCTCGCCTGGTATGTGGCTGCCTTTTGTTAACAGGCAGAGCACGCCAACGAGTTAACAAAGGCACCTGGGGGAAAACCAAGGCCGGATAGGAGGAAAAGACAGCTCCCTGGGCCATCATCACATGCGCCGTCATGTTGACTTGTGATTTTAAAGGCCCGTGGCCGGGTAGCTTAGCTAAAGCAGTTTGTACTGACTCCATATTGACTTTCTCAGAGTGCTTGGCCAGGGTCAGACCCCAAGGGAGGCCAAGGGAAGTAAGAGACTTCTGAAAAGTGCACTGAGTTTCAAAATCTCAGATAAAAGAAGTGACTTCTTCACTTCATACAGTGTATAGTTAAACTATGGAGGCAGTGGCCAGCTTGGAAGACTTTAGAAAAGGCAAATTCATGGAGCCTAACCTTGATGGCTATGCTCTGCCTCCACTGTTTGTCAGAGAGAGGAGAGTTCTCACGTCCTGCTTGTCGTCTTCCAACAGGCCTCTGGTTGGCCACTGTGAGAACAGAATGCTGGACTAGATGGCCTGTTGACCCGATTCACTAGGGATCTTCTTAGGGTCTGATTCTGTGTTCCTCGTTGGGATGAGCCCTATAGCAGAGACTTGTTATGTTGATGAACCCTGGTTTGATTTGTAGCATCTCCACATGAGAAGATCTTGAGCAGTGGAGCTTGAGTGGAGCTTGAGAGATAGACAACAGCTTCACAGGTTCAAATAAAAGCATGTTGTGTCTTAAACAGCCGTGCAACAGGCAGACACTCAAAGGTGAAGCTTTGTCTACCACAGCATCTCTTCCTTGAGAAAGCTGCAGTTCTTTCATTCCCATGCTGGCTAGGGCTGATGAGAGAAGATACAAGCAGGTGTGAGGAACCTTTGAGATGTTGCTGATCGACAACTCCCATCTTGCCTGGCCATTGGCCATACTGGCTGGGGCTGATGGGAGTTATTGTTCAGAGGCTTTCGGAGGAGAGGACAAAGGTTCTCTTAACACCTGGTGTAGCCCAACAACATCTGGCTAGATGCTCTAGCTCTGCCCTGCTGGAACTACCTCAACTTAAATGTATGCACATTATTCTCCTGCATTATCCCCCACACCGTCCTGCTCACCCACTGTCTCCCCTGTGTTGCATTTGAAATTGCAAGACCCTCAGGACAGAGACCTGCATAAAATGCTATTATGTACAAAGTGTGTGCTACTTAAGTAATAATCCAATTGCTGTGGCCGCCCAAATGTTATTAGCCCAGAGTTGGAAAGAGGCTAAAAGTCCCTACCAGAGAAGAATGGCAGACCAAGCTGATGGACTATGCCGAGATGGCAAAGTTGATTGGAAAACTCAGAAACCAAGAGGATAAAAACTTTATAAAAGAATGGGGAAAATTTATAAGTTACCTAGGAAACCACTGTAAGCAGAAGGAAACAAGAGCAGGATTTTGACTCACTTTTGGTATAAAAAATACTATGGACAATATGGTTTTATATAAAAATTAGAGTATGTGTGAATATGCAGTTGCAGATTCTTAAAATGAGACCGCATGGAGGAATGGGGGGAAGTCTTGAGATTCGGAGAATCTCTTTATACAGGTATGTTTTTACTAATTTGTGTTTATTTGTATGTTGTATTTGTAAAACCAATAAACATGATTTATAAAATAATAATAATCCAATTGCTGTGGAGGAAAAGTGTCACTTTGATTTAGGGTTGGGGGCAGGGAAGAAGACCCTGATTACCCCCAGGACCTGTTCATCACCTGGAACCTCAGTATTAATGATTTAACACATGCAAAAGTTCTACTTCTTTTTTTAGTATGGTGAACAGGTGAAGAGGATACTGTCCTTGCATCACCGTCGTCTGTTGGGGCTGGTGGCCCTTGCGAGTGGTACAGCAGAAGGCAGGGAACCCAAACCGCAGGTGGAGCCAATGACAGGTAAAGCCGACCAACTCTGGATTTCTGCTTCTTGAAAATAAAATTGCTGTTATATAAATTGAGGTTTGGACCACATTCAGAATAGCAGTGCATCGTTCTGGTCACCTCGCCTCAAAAAGAATATTGTAGAGTTGGAAAAGGTTCAGGAAAGAG